AGACGAAGAGATCGCCGTCGAGATCGCCGCCGTACGCCGCCGCACGCGCCGCCGCACGCGCCGCCGGAGGTTTCCAGCTGCCGAGGATAACGCGCGCGCGTGAGAGCGCGTGAACGCTCCTTTTTTCGACCGGTCAACGCCGTTGACTTCGCCGTGACGTCAGCTTTCTGGATTGGTCAAGTTTGTTCGATTCCGAGAAGATTTGATTTGCGGTCAACTGTCCGGGCCAGCCAGATCTACATTAATTTTAAGCAGTAAGTTTTCTTCATCAAACCTTTAGATCCGCTGCGCATAGGTTTATGTTGAATGTTTGTCTGTGATTTGTGCATATCGAGATCCTCATGGGTTCCAACACAACCTGCCCAAAATGTTCTGCTCGACCACCAAAAGGCCGATGGACGACCGCATTGTGACAACTGCAGTAGAGCTCATGGGGGAGTTTGCTTAGCAGGCCAACAAATCTGCTACTACTGCAAGCAGCCAGGACATTTCACTAGAAAGTGCCCAGAGCGTGGACAAATACAGAATCAACAGCCGCAGCAGTAGCCTCAGCAGGACCAGCCGAGGCTTGGAGAAGGAGGTAGGGCACGTGTATACATGTTGGCCCAGAATGAAGACGAACCGAACCAAGGAGGGGGAAATGGTCGTGTGAAGCAATAGAGTGGTAGTAGTCTTCTTGTTTGAGTTTTTAGTAGTTGCAAACTTTTGTTCTTCATGTTTCCTTATTTGGAGTTTCGAGTTTGAATATTATTGGAACCTTGTATTCTTCCTCTTTAATTGCAGACCAAGTGGCTTCATTGTTTCTACTTGTTCTTGATTGTTTTCAATTGTGAGATTCTTAAAGTGTGTGTTCTTTATGTATCCAAGCCGAGAATTCGAACTTAGTCTATCAGTCTGAAAAGGTTAGCGTATTTTCAAGAGACCAATTAGTCGTCGTCTGTAGTTAGTGGTGTTTGACATCACTAGTTGTAATACCGAATCTGCAAAAGGATTGTAATAAGTAGCCAAACGGTCTTGCGAGAGTTTTCTCGAGTCGGCAAGATGGGAATCTCGCTGTAGCATTGAGAAGGAGCTTCTTAGTGTTTGAGTAGAAGGTATGTGTATCGTAGGTAAGTCGATCATCAGAGTAGCGCAGCGATAGCGTGGTGAGCAGAAGATCCCCGTTTCGGATTTGAACAACCACACTATCGAGAGAAAGCTGCGACTATCTCCTTCGAACTCTTCAACTTTTAGCCTGAGGCGGTGGCTTAGCCTATCGCTTGAGCTTTACCACCGGGGCATTGAGAATTTCGTTTGAAGTTCTTGATTAGTTTTGAGCTTAATTTTAGATTTCCGAGGACGGATATCGTTTAAGGAGGGTAGATTGTAGCACCCCGTTTTCTTTAAATAAGCTTAGCATTTCATTTCGTTCCACTGGTCGACTTAGTTTAAAACTCGATTCCTATTTCTTCCTCTGTGCTTTTATTTTGTTGTAATAAGTGCTAAGAGTGCTTATGTGAATTGTATTCCTAATTGTACTTTTTTTGTGCGTAACTGTTATGTGTGCTAAGTGTCAATTTTGTTTTCTTAAGTGCTTAATTTTTTTTATGTGTCTATGTGTTTGGTTGTACCCAATTTGCCGGAATGTTATTTTGTGCCTTCTTGCTAAGTGTTCTTATATTTTTCCCTAAATGTTCTTAAGTGAATAATTGATTATATTATTTTCCTAATTGAATTATGTGATTATGTGAATTATTTTCTTAAGAGAATTATGTGCATATGTGATTTATTTTTCTAAGTGATTATTTGATTTTGGTGTTTTCATGATTATGTGATTTTGTGCTTATTATTAGAATTCTTGTGCTACGTGTCAGATTAATTTTTTTAGTATACTATTTGTACTAATTGTTCTTAAATGTCCATATATTTCTTAAGTGTATATATATATATACATATATATATATGTGTGTGTGTGTGTGTGTGTGTGTGTGTGTGTGTGTGGATACTTTTCTTTTGGACCCAAGAACATTATCAAGTCCAACTCCCAAACCCACAAGACCATGAGACCATTTGATTTAGTTAAGAAGCTCCAATCTCGCAGCCCAAATTCTCGGCCCAAACCTCCATTAAGACCGGCCCATTCATCTCCATCGGCCTCAAGAAATAGATCGCAGCATCCATCTCCCTCTTCTCGCCATTATCGCGCAGTCAAAGAGCCGTTACAGCCTCCATGAAATCTGGCAAACTCCCCCAATTTTGGCCAATTACTCCCACCATTTCAGCCACCACCAGCTATCCCTAATCCTTCCATATTTAAGCAACAAGAGCCCTCAGCCGCATATCCCAAAAAAATTTCACCAAATCTCCTCAGCAATTCAGTCCTGAATCGCGACCTTCGAGTCGAAATTCCCGAGCAGACTTTGCAGCGGCGAGGAGAACTCGGGGCTCCGTCGAGTACAGTGGGTCTGAGGTCGAGCAACCGAGAGCGTCGCCGAAGAGCTGACAAGTGACCCCTTTTGGTCGCGGCTAAGTCCAAATTTTCCAGCAACCCGCACACGACCGAAAGCAGGCCCTCCGACGGACCAAGCAGCAGCCGACGTGAGCCAGCCTTCACGATAGAATATCAAAGTTCCGATGAGGCGAGTTCAGTGCGTGCTGAGGTGAGTTTTGTCGACCCCCGAGTCTGAGAACTAGCGAGTAACAGCAGACTGGGAGTATCTTCTAGCCGTTGAGCCTTTTGCCCTTTGCTGTAGAAAGCTGAGAGAACCGAGAGCCTCAGCCGAGCCATTTCTCGAGCCAAGAACCGAGCACCCGAGCCCTTTATTCTCTGTTTTCCGGCGAGAGGTAATCTGTCGGGGCCTCGCTTTCCTCTTTTGTGGCTGAGCTTATCTATTTTGACTTGAATACCATGCTAAAATTGAAGTATTATTAGAGCATATAGTTCAGTTTATAAGGCCCTGTTTAGTGGTTTAAAATTTTGAGAAAAGAAGATCATGAAGGAGGCTTTAGTGTATTCTTGTGCCATATTTTACATTAGATGTTCTTGTGCCTTTATTTTGCTGAGTTTTGCTTCACCTTTATTGTGCTGAGATTATAGTGGTCTTACCATGTGGTGTTCAGCTTTTAAAGCCAATTTGTTCATTGTTGAGTTTTAAAGAAATGAATGAAGAGAGGCTTAAATTGTTGTATGTTTTGTTGGCCTTGTTAAAATATGTGACGCTGAGCTTTGTTTATATGTTTAGCAGGCTTATTTGGTGCCTTAGTCCAGAGGTTAAAGTCAGTTTTGAGGTCTTAGCAAGTGGTAGAAAAGTTTGGTTTGAGTTGAGGAAAGAAGAATAAGAGAAGGAGATGGGTGTTGCATGATGTTGACCTCATTTCATTGTATGTTGCTGAGCCTTATTCGATAAGTCTTACATGCTGAAAATTTCTATATTCAGAGACTTATGTTCAGTTTTTATGGCATCTATTTGGTGGTTAATGTTGGGTTCTGTTAAGAACGTCAAACAACATGCACAGTATTGAACTTTATCGAAATAAATCCTAACGCAGCGGAATCTATAGTTAGGATATGGACGATTACCTTTTAAAAATTTTGCCGACTCTGAGACGATGTAGAGTACCATTGATGAAGTTCGTCTGAACACCACAACCTAATGGGCGGATAGGTTTGGCCTTTAGTCGATTCTAATCGACACATCAAACGGATCACGGTTGAACGGTGCGCGGGTCTCGGTCGTCGGGTGCAGCGGGCGTCGTGCGCGTCGGGTGCGGGTCGCTGGCAGGTACGTGGATCGCAGGTGGGGCGCGTCAGTCGCTGGGATCTGCGGACGGACGTTGGGAGTAGGTTGGCGTGTCACGTGCACGCGGGCAGGACTCCTAAGCTGCTGCGGATTGATGCTGGCGAGTGGGCGAACGCGGTCATGCAGTTCGCGTGTCCTGGTTGCGCAAGGAGTAGCGCACGCGTGTTGGACGAGCACTGGGACGATGCAATCAGTGATAGTGAGCGGCAGGGGCGAACGGGTGGTGCGCGACTGCTTCTTGGGAACGATCGGCGATCGCGGTGCTACACGAACGGGCGTCGGCCTTCGTGCGGTGGTCCTAGGCGTTGCTGCTGGGAGCTGGACGGGCCTGGCTGGACGCGGTCGCGGGCGGTTGCTCACGGTTGCGATCGGCCGGGCGTAGACGGCTTTCGGCGGTGGTAGGTGATTTCCGGCGAACACTCACGACGGCGGATGGGCGGCGATGAGGTGATGATGATGACCAGAAAATATAAATGTATAAAGGCTCAAATAATTGTACCCAAAAGCCTTCTAAGGGATTACCTAAACACCTATTTCGATTAAACTTGGTGGAGCATTTAATCGAATCTCCCTAACTCTCGAACGATGTAATTCTCTCATGTATGTAGTAGAGAAAAATCGGCCAAGACAACATTGTAGGAGAGGTTGGGACATGGTGTATTTATAGGCTCCATTAGGGACCTTAAGGAGGTGCTAAATATGGGCTTATTCCATTAGGCCTAGGAATCCTAATTCTACTCCAATACTAATTTAATGTAGGAAGGAAATCTCCTACTAATCTCCTCCTTCTAGAAGACTCCTAAGTCTCCTAACACTAGAGAAGATCCTTGTAGGACTATCTTTTCTAAATAAATTAATAACCATGGAATAAAATTAATTCCTAATTTAGAAAGCCTAATTTTACTCCAATTAATAATATAATGTAGGAAATATATTTCCTACTAATTTTCATCTTCTAGAAGACTCACAAGTCTCCTAATCCCAAGAGAAGATTCCAGTAGGAATTTTATTCTCCTAATTAATTAATTAATATGAAATAAAATTAATTCCTATTTAATGAAATTAAATAATAAAACATCCCACTAGAGTAATACTATTGCTCTCCCCATTTAGCCACTATTTTACCAATAAAATCGAGCCTCCATGATTAAATAATATTAATCTGATTGATCGATTTACCTCCCGATGTTTATGATATAATGTCTGTTGATTAATTAAATTACTGACAAAATAATTAATCAAATTCTTATTCATTTCCGAAATTAGTATCACTCAACCTTTAACCATTATGTCAGACAATCGTCTACCTGCAGGGTTTAACATAATGTTTCTTTCTGAGCTCATTTCGGGGATGTCATCAATCTAGCGCACTGGAACATAGTGACCGTAAACAATCTATAATAGCACATCATACAATTATTCTTACTTACCAAAATACCTCGTATGTCATCCTAACAGGATAGGAATCACTTGGTAAATCAAATAAATAAGAAATAAAAATATATGCCTATTTTATATTATCTTACAGCTTAAGAGAACGCATCAATCACTGAAGGACGAGGTTACAACAACGGTCAGTGAGTCTCATAACCTTTGCCTTCCGCGGTCCTGTTCAACACTTAACATAAGTGCCAGTGTAATCCTTCAGTCAAAGATTAACTGAATCAAGAATACACTACAGTCTTTTTCAAAGTGGGGTCTCACTGCCAGTCTAGACTGTGAACGAATAGTGTAGTCTTATAAGGAACTGATAGGTGATCTTTCTGTTCGAAACTCTTCGAACCACACTACCTCAATATAAGACATGGAGTATGTATTGCATAAATAAATAAACTGCAAACATATGTACTTTGACCGAAACATGATTGCCAGATCAAAATAGAATTGATAGAATCTGCAAAACATAGCTTTTACAGTATACCTCTAACAATCTCCCACTTATGCTTTATAAGCTCATTGCTAAACAAAATAACCACAATTTCTTTCAATCTAATTCTCAAACACTAGTCTACTATGTCGCCCTACTTGGCAACAATGACTTCTCCTCGTCCAACGATTTCTCGTATCAGGTGGTACTTGCGCTCTATGTGTTTACTCGCTTTATGAGTCCGTGGCTCCTTCGAATTTGCTACTGCTCCGCTGTTATCACAGAATACTGTGATTGCAGCGGGCAAACTCGATACCACATCAAGATCGAGGAGAAAATTCCTGAGTCAGACAGCTTCTTTCGCTGCCTCCGAGGCTGCTACATACTCGGCCTCCATGGTTGAGTCCGCCACGCATTTCTGCTTGACACTCCTCCATACTATGGCTCCTCCTCCTAAAGTAAACACAAACCCTGAGGTTGACTTGCTTTCGTCCTGGTCTGCCTGGAAGTCAGAATCGGTGTAACCCAACGGAAGCAATTCATCTGCCTGGTAAATCAACATGTACTCCTTAATCCTACGTAGGTACTTGAGTATATACTTTACCGCAGACCAATTTTCCGGTCCAGGATTACTCTGATATCTTGCCACCATGCCCACGACATAACAAATATCAGGTCGCGTGCACAACATAGCATACATGAGGCTTCCTACTGCCGATGCATAAGGAACTGCCTTCATGTCCTCTATCTCTTGAGGCATCTTCGGGGACATCCTCTTAGATATAGGTATTCCGTGCCGAAAGTGTAAATCCCCTTTCTTGGAATCCTGCATGTTGAAACTCTTTAGGACAGTGTCTATGTATGTGGATTGGGATAGGCACAACTTTCTCTTCTCTCGGTCGCGAATGACCTTGATTCCGAGAACATGTCCTACTTCACCCAAATCCTTCATATCAAACTGCTTGGATAGCCATACCTTTACATCTGATAACATCTTCACATTGTTTCCAATGAGAAGAATATCATCCACGTACAGCACTAGAAACACCACCACGTTTCCATCACTTTTCTTGTACACACAGTGCTCATCCGGACATTGGGTAAATCCATACGATTGGACAACCTCATCAAAACGGATGTTCCAAGACCTCAAAGCCTGCTTCATCCCATAGATGGACCTCTTCAGCTTGCAGACCAGATGCTCTTGGTCCTTTGCAATGAATCCTTCTGGTTGCTGCATATAGATGTCCTCGTCCAAATTCCCGTTAAGGAAAGCGGACTTAACATCCATTTGCCAAATCTCATAATCCATATGAGTGGCCACAACTAAGAGAATCCTGATGGATTTGAGCATGGATACCGGCGAAAAGGTTTCCTCATAATTGATCCCTTCTTTCTAAGTGTACCCCTTCGCAACAAGCCTAGCTTTGAAGGTCTCGACCTTCCCATCTGCTCCTCTCTTTCTCTTATAGACCCACTTGCATCCAATGGCGCGAATGCCACTGGGTGGGCTCTACAAGATCCCAGACCTGATAAGTGTCCATTGACTCTATTTCAGATTTCATCGCCTTTTGCCAAGACTCTACGTCCCGATCTTGGAGTGCCTCATTGTATGTCCATGGGTCGGATTCAAGAACATCCGGGACGGCCTCCGAGAACTCTCCCAGACCCATGAACCGTTCGGGCTGCCGGACAACCCTCCCACTACGACGAGGTACTACCTGCTCTGGTGCATCATCAGCGATACGTGTTGCAGTATTTTGTGGTGTAACATCTAGCGCACTCGATATTGAAGTACTCACTCCCTTTAACTCCTCAAGAACATGTCCATTACTGGGCTTATGATCTAAGACATAGTCTTCTTCCAAGAAGCTAGCATTCGTGCTAATGATTACTTTCTGGTCCTCGGGACTATAAAATAGACCACCTTTCGTTTTCCTTAGAATATCCCACAAACAACCTTACTTCTGATCTCGGTTCCAACTTATCAGTATCGGTTCTCAGCACATGTGCTGGACTACCCCAAATCCTGAGATGTCTTAGACTAGGCTTATGCCCATACCACAACTCCAATGGTGTAGACGGTACTTATTTAAAAGGTACTCTATTCAGAATGTATACCGTTGTTTCTAGGGCATATCCCTAAAACGAATCTGGTAAACTACTATAACTCATCATTGCCCTAATTTCCATAAGAGTCATGTTCCTCCGTTCTGCTACGCCATTCTGCTGAGGCGTGCCAGGCGCAGTCAGCTGGGACGTAATCCCATTATCCGTCAAGTAGCTCCTAAATTCATTCGAGAGATATTCGCCACCACGATCTGATCGTAATGACTTGATACTTTTTCCTAATTGCTTCTCCACAACTGCCTTATACTCTAAGAACTTCTCAAAGCATTCAGACTTGCGGTGCAGAAGGAAAATGTACCCATATCTCGAGTAATCATCGATAAACGTAACGAAGTACTCGAAACCACCTCTCGCTGGAATACTCATAGGACCACGTAGATCGGAATGAACTAGCCCTAACACATCTTCGGCTCTATGCCCCTTTGAAATGAAAACCCTCTTAGTCATTTTGCCTTCCATGCAAGACTCACAAGTTGGAAAAGCCTCGACTTCTAACGACCCTAAGGCCCGTCTGCTACCAACCTTTGAATCCTCCTAAGGTTAATATGACCAAGTCATAGATGCCAAAGATATGTTTCGTTCATTTTAGAAGGTTCTTTTCTCTTATTCAGATTAGATGATGAATTAAGTAAGTGTTTCTGTTGCAGTGGAGATGACCTAGATTCTAGAATGTATAGATTGTCAACTAATGAACCAGAACATATGAACTTTTTGCCAAAACGAATAACAACTTTATTATCAAACGTAGCGAAAAACCGTTCATAAACAACTTAGAAACTGAAATCAAATTCTTTCTAAAACTGGGAACATAAAGACAATCTTTCAAAACTAGAAACCTATCTAAGCCAAAATCTAAATAGACGTCTCCCACTGCAACTGCTGTCGCTCTACTAGCATCGCCCAAGTAGATGGTAACTTCTCCTTCCCTAAGTCGCTTGGTTTCATGGAACCCCTGCAATGAATTGCAGACATGATCAGTGGCCCCTGTATCTACACACCAGGTACTGGTAGATAACACCGCTAAACATGTTTCAGCGACTAAAGCAAAAGGAGTACCTTTTTCGGGTTTCTTGGGAAGAGGGCAGTTTGCCTTCCAGTGTCCTTTCTGCTAACAGTTGTAGCACTTACCTTTCGGCTTCTTCGTCTTATGTCGAGGTTGCGCATCACTCATGACCGCTTTGCCCTTTCCTGTGGACTTCTTCCTCTTCTTGCCCTTAGGAGCCTTAGAAGTGGAAGCTTCTCCTCGCTGGGCCACCATGGCTTTGGTCTTCTAACGAAACTGGCCCTCTGCCTCCTGAAGCTCAACAACAAGTTCCTGAAGAGTCATCAACATCTTATTCATGTTATAATTCAACCAGAATTGCTCGAAGCTCTTCGGCAAAGACTGGACCACTATATCGACCTGGGTTTCCCCGTCAATAAAAGCCCCAAGAACCTCCAGCACATTCAGTTGGGTCATCATAGCAAGAACATGTTCTCTTAAGGGAGTGCCCTCGCGCATGGTCATGTTCATCAGAACCCTCATGGCTTCTTGTCGGGCAGCCCGCGACTGATGACCAAATAACTCCTTGAGATTGAGAAGCATCTTCGCTGCAGTGTTCATAGTCTGATGTTGATGTTGGAGTACATTTGACAAGGATGCCAAGATGTAACACTTCGCCATCTCGTCAGCCTTTTTCCACCGAGCATACTCCTCTTTCTCTTGGTCTGGATCATTATCAGCAGGCACAGCCGGACAAGCCTCAACAGTAGCAAATTTGTACCCTTCAGCAGTGAACACAATATCCAGTTCCTTTTCCAGTCAATATAATTGGGACCAACAAGTTTGTTTTCTTTGAGAATTACGGACAACGGATTGAAAGACATTTTGAATTCCTGGGATCAAGCAAACATAGTCTTTACTCAGTCAAGTAGTTTTGAATTTATACATCAAATATTGATCCCATGTGTAATATCCCGATATTTTATCGGTATAAATTATGTTTTAATTTCGATATAATAATGTTATCGTTTATTATTTTCGGAATTTATTATGTTCAGTCGAGATTACCGAAATTTATTTTCGGCGTACCGTTTACGTTCGGAATAATTTTGGTAATTAAGTATTATGTTTAATTAAATAATTAAACATAAATAAGTGGTTAATTATAATTAATCACGTCTCTAGGGCGTAAGCCGTGGGAGATATAGCTTAATGGCTCAATAATTTGTATAAGGCCGTATGATATATATATTTATGTTCAAAAATTTTCCTAAGGTTCCTAAGTCCTAAGGAAGTACATTTCCCCCTCATTTTGCAAGGCTACGTGGCCAATTAAGGGGGCAGCTTAGTCATCCCACATCTTGTCCTTGGAGTAGCAAGTGTCTTGAGCCTATGAAGCCACGCATCACCAACATCATCACCACCCTCTCGTCACTTAGTATATAAACGTAGGCTTGGGGTGAATTTTCCCCCAATTTTCCCTATAAGACATACTCATAATTTTCCCTCCACATATATATACGTTCAGCAAGCTTTAAGCAAGTCACCATCATTCCTCAAGCTTAGTTCTCTCACGGCAAATCGGAGTACCGCACGGCACACGCAAGGACAAGGAAGCACGTTCCATTTTTCAATTTCGGTCGAGCGATTGTCAAGGTATCTTCCTCCTCATGTTAAAATCATGTTAGTAAGGTTATTTCAAGGGTAATTGTTCGGAGGATTTTCAGAAATTCTTAAGAAAATTCATGTTGAACTCGGTTAGCACTTCATAGTTCTATACCGAGTTAAGTTCAATTTGTTTCAGCAAGTCATGAGCAATTCTGGTTCTTTCAGCTTTTATTTAAAGTATAATGTTCAGCTGAGAAAGATCGGTCGATAAAAGTTGGCTCTATGTTCATGTTATGGCTAAAGAAGGCGGGCTGCGCACCTAGCGCGAACCCACAGGCCATGAAGGGCTTGATGGCCTTATCTTTCGTAATGGTCCAGATAGTCTGAACAATTTGTGTTTAAAAGATCATGTTAGGTCAATTAATAGGCAGTCAGTTCATGTTGGTCGAGATATTTTTAAGTTTGGTCGAAGAATTGGCCATAGGCCGTAGGCCTCGCACGTAGCGAGCCTACCACAGCCGTGTGTTAGGTCAGTGAGTAAGTTCAGCAAGCAAGTTCAGCCATTTCTTGTAAATTCAGTATAATGTTCATGTTAAGTCAGAAAAGGTTAAAAGAAGTCAGTTCGGTCAGAGAATTTTGCCGGACGGCCGGCAAGGGCCGGCCGTGGTCGCGCTGCCGCACACAGCGGCAGCAGCGCAGCGGCCAGTAGTCAGTGTGACA